GCTGGTGTGCAGACCCGTTTGTGTACACAGAGCACACGTTTCTTTGTGCCTGGGCCGTCAGCAGCTGGATGGGGTTGGCAGTGGCCGGCGCTGGCCCCGGTGAGCTGAGCCCTCTGCCGCAGCAAGGCAGAGTCAACAATAATCCAAGCCTGGCCCCATATGGCTCTGATGACCTTTTCCTTTCTGCTTAAAAGATGACTGAGCGGCACTCCCCCTTCCTACATCAGTTCATTTCTCCTCAAATGCCTCTCCTGCTGACACCCAGGACTTTCCCGTAAGGCGGCGCCCTGTGCTGAGCTGGGGAAGGAGGTATGATTCAGAGTAGCGTATGGGCAGGGCTTGTTGAGCTTGGCAGGAGACAGAGGGGTCTCCCTGGTGATTCTCCAGAGTGCTAACTCCGTGTAGCACGGAGAACCATTTTCAGGTGCCAGAGGAAAGTGGCAAAGCTATCTTTCCCCCATCCCTGCATGAACGACATGGTGGATACAGAACCTGACCATCACACGGAGGCAAGGACATTCAGTAGCAACTAGAACCATTTACTATGTGGAAATCAACAACCCAAACAAATGCTGGCTGTGCTGTACGTGTCCACCCCACAAGGTCATTCCGTTTCGTTTCTGGTCTGGAAGTGGAGGCCTCACTACTCCAGATTACAAAATACTCCAAGGGTAAAGACTTTGCCCCTGAGTAGTGCTGCTGCCGCTGGACCTAGGGCTTCCCTCTGCTGGTACGAAATGGCCTGAGGTGGAACCAGGTGTGGTGTGGAGAGCAGGAGACACTAAGAGCCTGGTAATGGGGTTGTCCATTTGGAATTCAGACCCTGGAAATGTGAGCTGGGGCATCTTTCCCCACTTGTCCCCTGAGAGAACAGAGCCATCTCATCTCTCATGTCTAAAACTTCAGCAAATGCAACACCTGGAGCCTGAGACAACAGGAAACATGTGGGCACTGAGTAGTTATTCTCATGCACCCTCTCAGGTCCAGGGCATCCTGGCACCAGCAGACCGCCAGGTGATGCGCAGGCCGCTCTGGGAGCTGAGGCAGGCTTACAGGCAGGCAGTCCCACAGTGAGTACAGAGGGCAGAAGATGGGGAGCAGAACCTCCCGATCCCAATCTCCAAGCCTCTGACCATGCTCTTAGGGGCCTGGCAGGATGGGGAAGGCAGCGTCCCCCCACTCTGGAGCTCTTCTGTCCTTGTGACCTATGCTGAGCAGCTCCAGGGCCATTATCCTTCATAGAATTGGGGATGGGGTTGGCAGTGTATCTGCCACAGGTTTCTGGTTGCGAATCTGATGGTTGCTCTGAGAGTTAAGGCAAATACTGTCAGTTCAGGTCCTTGGGACCCAACTCAAGAACCTGGACTGTGCCCGTGAGTCACTCTCAGCCCAGCAGTTTTAACTGACTAGAATTTGTGGATCAAAAACAAAAGCAGGCAGGTCATTAAAATGTGGTCAAAGGAGAAAACAATGGATCCAAAAGAGTATGTTTCCTAATTAAGAGGTTAAGCAACAACTGTAGCAGAAAGAGAGAGCAACATATTCTAGAAGGAAGCCCAGGAAGGCAGGGCCCGCCATGAAGAACAGGAAATTGACCAGCGTAGTGATCTTGATCATGTGGCTTCAGAGAAACAAAAAGGTTCCTGGGTTCTGGGCTATGCCCAAGGATCTTTCTTCCTTACATGCCAAGTGGGACAAAAGAGAGTAGACCACATCCCTAGGTTGTAGGAGCCATGACATTTGGAATGGAGTAAGGTCCCTTAATTCCATTCTACCCAAGTGGCCCCATGCACACTGGGACAGAGAGCACTCACCAAATGCCTGGCCTTGAACTATGGAGATAAAAACAGGTAACTCAGGGCCCCTGGGTGGCTCAGTCGTTAAGCGTCTGCCTTCGGCTCAGGTCACGATCCCAGAGTCCTGGGATCGAGCCCCGCATCGGGGTCCCTGTTCAGCGGGAGGCCTGCTTCTCCCTCATCCACTCCCCCTGCTTGTGTTCCCTCTCGCTGTGTCTCTCTCTGTCAAATAATAATATCTTTAAAAACAAACAAACAAACAAACAAAAAAAAACTGGGTAACTCTTCAGGTAGTCCTTGTCTCTTTAGTCAGTATGTTATTGGTCCTTGGGTGCCAACAGAGATATTCTGTCATTATTAAGGATTAAAAATATCCTTATCCTGAAAAAAACACTCCAGGGACTAACAGATCTCAGTCCCGATTATTACCCTATAAAAAGGGTTGGCTTTGGGGGCTTATGTTCCTGTTTTAAGCAGCCTAGGACTGGGACAGTTTTCTCCATTGAGAAAAAAAGCCTTGAAATAATGTGTGTAACAGCGAAGTAAGCCTCAGGATGAATCATGTGAGTATTAGTACTGCTGAACCAATGGCATTCCAAAGCTGCTGGGGTCCCTTAGGTTTACAGATGACTGCACTGAGCTGGTGTATTTGCTCTGTATGCCCCAACCCAAACCACACAGGTGGAACAGACTGCTGCCACAGCACTCCCTCCTTGCTGCTTGCTGTTGCTAGAGGGTATGGCTGTGGGTCTCAGGGTCTCAGAGAGAGCCTGCTAGATGGGACCCCCTGATTCCCGTGCCTTGTCCACAGCTCAGCAGCGGAGGTGCCAGGGTGGAAGGCAGAGTGAGGCCCTAGGGCTACTGCAGCATATCTTTCTCATGTACAAGGTCACCCACGACCCCTCTCGCATTTGTTACCTGTCACTTCATTTCTCTTGGAGAGGGACAAGGAGAAGGGAAATGAATTGATTACAGTGGTGTATTACAGGGCACTACCTTTCAGCATCTTGAACTGGACTGAGGAACTGAGCAGTGGTGCACTGAGTGGTCCAGTCTGCATTTAAGGGAGGAAAGGGTAGGAAAAGAAGGAAAGGTAATTTCTGGCACCGGCTCTCTCCTCTCTCAGCTCCCAGTAATACTTAGGAAGCAGAGTGGGTGGAACTAAGCATATTTGCAAAAACAGATTAGCTCCGATGCAGGCTGAAAAGTATTTTCTATACAACGTGAACTGAGACCCCCCTGTACCCTTGTCCTATGTGCTTCAGATAAAATTTTTATCATGTTTCCTAGGTTAATATGCCAGAGCATGAACTAAGAGTGGTCTTCATCTTAGCCCCAGGTTGACTTGCAGGCAGCGGCTGGCCCAGCCCCTTCATTTGGGGGAAAGCAGGGCAGGAGAGGGATGGGAGTGGCAGACGTCGCTGGATAAGGCTGGGGCCATCTGCACTACTGTGAATCAAGGTTGGCTCAGACAGAAGGCGCGAGGGAGGAGGTGCAGCTGCTGATGGCTCAGACAGCTTGGACCTGTCCAGGCAAACAAGCCGCTCAAGTGCAAGAACAGCCAGCCAAGTAGGCAGAGCACGAATAAGGACTTAAAGCTTGAAATATCTGACAAGATATGGAGGGAGGGTAGGAAGCTGTCTGGGATTTCAACTGGTGTCTGGCCTTGCTTCTCACTGCTAAGGCAGACTCTTCTGCTACCGAAGGATGGAATGTGATATCTGGGAGCCAGTGGGCAAGCTATTCTTTGAGCTAAAATCTTAAAAGAAATATTCATCTTAAATTGCAAAGACAGTTCTGGACTGTTCTCCCTCACTAATGCCCTCTAAAACAAAATCAAACCATTGTCCACAGATAATCCATCTCTGCTCCAGTCACCTGCCCAAGGTTAAGAGCATTGGGCCGTGAGAGGGAGAGTGTGTGGGGGCTGAGGGTGGGGGACACAACCACACTGCACCATCAATCGCACAGTCTGGGAACAGTCTCAGACCAGCTAAGGAAGGCGACGTGGGGTGTGCAGAAGAGGCAAATACACGCTCTCCTCTTCCGCCTTCCAGGGCGGGTGGTGGTGGGGAGGGCAAGGCCAGCAGTGGGATGTTCAAGCGCTATTACAGCTCCTTCTGGTGAACACTCTTTGAGACAATGGTTCTCAGTCCCAAGTATATACTGTCAGCACTAAGGAGCCGTTAGAAAATACCAATGTTCAGACTCTAGATCAATTACAGAGGCATCTCTAGGGGTGGTGACAGGATTTCGATATTTTTAAAAATATAGCCCGGTGGTTCAAGGGCAGGCTCAGGATTAGAACCTCTGCTTTTGAGTCTAGAGGGAGCAGGGGAAGACTCAGTGGTCACGCTGGTTTCTGACAGGCAGGACAGTCCTGTCACTAATGACAGAAGCTTTAGCTGAGCTAGTGCCCCTGGGGTTTCACTGAGGTTCAGGAGGAGTAACTTCGGAGAGAGCTGGCCAAGTATCAATTGACTGCCCTGGAAAAACAAAGGGAAACACTCCTACAAACATATCACCCTCCTAAGAGCCCCAGGTGAGGAGGGAGAGGGGACAGACTGCTCAGAGGCCCATGAATATCAAATGGGAGAAACCAAGGCACAGGGAGACTACCATTTATTCTACCATATATTCTACCATATATTATTATTATTTATACCATTTATACCATAGTGGAAAGAGAAACCCTCCCTAGTCACATAGGCTGCTCTACAAGCTAACTCAGGAGGGGCTCAGTTCAGGCTCATAAGCCCAAATGAATGAGAAGCTACTTCTAAAAAATGCCAGGTTTCTGACCCCTAGCCTAGTGGCATTCCCTGCCACAGCCCTCCTTTGGTTCACTTCCTCATCTATATGCTTACTTAGAGCCAGTACAATGACTGGCACTGTGCCAGGTGCTGAGGAACAATGGAGATGAAAGACTTGGTTCTTGCCCTTGAGGAGTTCCTACCGTGGGGGAAACAACAAGATGGACAGCCTAAGGGTGGCAACAAGGGGAGATAAGTACTAGGGAGCATAGGGGAGTCAGGGAAAGCTTCTGCCTCCTCCCATCCAAACAGTCCAGTGAAGGCCACATGGCCTGGAGTTTTACATTTTAGTGACTCTGAGGCTACTTGTTCTTCTGAGTGGGCAGAGGAAGAAAATGCCCGTTTGAATTCTGGATGTAGGCACCGGATATAGTGGTAGGACCCACACTGATTCAGACCTGGGGCAAGACAGATGCTCTGGGCCCTCCTACAGAGGGGCAGGGGGTGACTTCTGCACCTTTCTCAAGCTGGTTTGCTGAAAGGACTGTTCCAAGTCTTCCCCAGGGAGTAGGAAGAAGGACACCCATGCACTTAGTAAACATTATTGGTAGCAGAGCTCTGGGCTGGTCGAGTGACCTTGGGCAGTCTGTAGCTTTCCCTCTGCTTCAACTTCCCTTAGCAACACACAGACTTGCTTATAAGTATACATCACAAAGCCCCCTGAATAAAGAAGAGCCAGCAGCTTGCTCATGAATGGAGAGGTGCTAAGTCAGGGTCCTAAGCCAGGCTGTGGTATTTAAATGTAGCATGGAAGCTTCCAGCCAGAGCTCCAGAGCACCATTTAGTTGGGCTGCAGCAAGCTTCTGTTTATCCCACCTGCTGAGCAGCCAGAGCAAAATACTGCTTGGGAGTTAGGACAGGTGCTGAAGACACAAAAGGGCCCTCACACACTTGCACACAGGACTGAGAGCACATGGACTCCCGGGAAGGACAGGGAGGTGCAATTTCAGCCCCCTCGCCCCTCACTCTAGCTTCAGCAAAACCCCACTAGGTAAAGTGCTGAACACTAAGGAAATCAGAATCCTCCTGTGCATGTGTCGCCACGTAGTGGTCTTTTATGGTCCTGGTGTGGCAAGAGAGGTCCTCAGCGTGGTATGCAGGAGTGCTGGCAAGTGACAAGGCACGTAAAGCCCAAAGCACAACAGCTTTTGGGGCTGGGTGGTACTGAGGTCACTCAGTAGAACAAAGCTGCCTAGTTGTCCACTCTGAATTCCCATTCTAGGTGTCATCTGTTCTTTGTGCCCAAGCTGTTCTTCACCTCCTCAGGAGCTGATGGTCCAGATTACTTATGGGAACTTATCCTGAAAGGTCACTCTTAGGTTACGCAGAGCCCCAAGTCAGAGCTGATCTAGGGTGTGGGGATCCAAATTTAATCTTCTAAACCACCGGTTCTCAACCTTATCTGAACATTAGAATCCCCTGAAGAGATTCTAAGTTCTTTTAAAAACATTTTTTTATTACTGAAAAAACTCAGATTTGAGAAATTTGAAACACTGGAACTAGAGAATAGTTACGAACTCCCATATACCGACCATCCAGATTTAGTAATTATCAAAACAGATCTGCTCCATCTATCCCCCTTTTCTTTGCTGACGTATTTTAAAGCATACCCCAGACATGATGTCACCTCACCTTTCCATACTTCAGTGTGCATCTCTAAAAAAACACAGCCATTTTCTTACCTAACCACAATGCCATTATCACACGGAACACAATCAACAAACTATTCCTTGGTATCACCTAATATGCCTGGGGAACATAAAATTAAAAGCTGGTGCCTGATGAAACCAGAATCTTTGAAGGGAGGCCCAGGTATGAGCACCTTTCCTAAACTCCCGCACTCCCAAGATTCCAGTGCGCAGCCAGGGTTGAGAACCACTGCTCCATCCATCCAGGATCCTGCTATGGGGGTCTAATGCAAGCTCCATGAATATCCTTTTGCCCTGATCACATGGTACACAATAAAAAAAGTCAAGGAAAAGGTGGCAAGTCACAGAACAGGATAAAGAGAAGGAAACAAAGGGCAAGTGGGTGGCTCAGTCAGTTAAGCGTCAGACTCTTGATTTTGGCTCAGGTCATGATCTCAAGGTCATGAGATTGAGCCCCAAGTTGGGTTCCGTGCTAGCAGCAGAGCCTGCTTAAGATTCTCTCTCTCCCTCTGCCCCTCCCGCCTCCCTCTCGGTGGTAGGTGGGGAAGCGGGAAAGAGAAGGAAAACAAAAGCATTAAGTCGGCTAGGTACAGAATGGGATCCACTGTATAATGCAAGGAGCTGAGGCCTGCTCACTCGATCCCCTAGATCCATTAAAGGTCTGAGAGGCCTGGAAAGAGTTGTTCCCAGCTGCCCAGTCTGCTCAGAGGGCCCTCAGCACCTCACACCAGGCCAGCCTGCATTATGCCTTCTCTCTATTTCTAGCTCTTCTCCCTTCTGTACACGCTGTCTCTCTGGCCTAATATTCTGGCAAACTCAAGAGCTTCAGCACCTGGTCTTAGACAGGATTAATTAGGCCTGTGGTGAGGGGGTGTGCCAAAACTTCTTGGGCGTTGGCACTAGGGTTTGGGATCACAGTCGTCAATTTTAACTATTTATTTTATTTAAAAAATAACTAAACAAACCATCCAGCAGAAAAGATGAAGCTGTATCACTGCAGCTAAAAATACCTCTACTGAGGGCGTCCGCTCACCAGCTCTTCAATTAGAGATGCTACAGGGCCCTTTGTGAGCTGTGCAGAGTTGGCAGCTCCACAGGGGCTCTGGGAGGCTGGGGACAATCCCCGGAGCAGTAACTAGCGACTGCTAGGTGGAGGAGGGCTGGCAGACAACCAGTTAGCCAAGATGACTGGCACACACAGGTAACTCCCAAACCCCTCTTTTGCTTTATGGACCTGGTGCCCAAGCCAAGAAACCTCTTGCCTTCTTTCCACGACGGACCCAAATGCTACCTTTGAGGATGCCTCAAAGTAACTGGGGACTGTTCGGGACACCTCGAGGTTCACGTGAGAGCAGTGATGACCAGAAGAGGTAATGCTGCCCAGTCTGGCTCAGGGTGTGTCCGTGCTGCCGGACAACTTCCCAGTTTGCGTCAGTGCTAACTAGACACAGGTGGTCATCTTGGTGGACTCAGGAAAGGGGTGCTTGGAATGCAGGCCTGACATCTGAAGGGGGAAACTGAGTGAGGCATAGGACTTTATGGCAACTAGGGTGTCTTTCTCTGGATCTCTTTTCTAGGTCCTCTCAGACCTAGAGGTCATTCAATCTAGCACACTCATTTTTATGTGGGAAGATGAAGCCTTGGGGAGGTTAAGGGATTTTTTGTCAAGGTCACAGATTTAGTAAATAGAGGAGCCAGGACTTATACGTGGGATTTTTTTCTTACAAGTACAGTGCTTTGTTCTACTATACTATGTCACCGCAATGAATGGATCCATTCTAAGCATTCAATGAGTGTTTAAAGAGCTACTGGAAAAGGTTATTTTTAGTAGGTGCCAAAGGGACCAAAGAACGTCAGGTCAGAGTTCCCTGCATGACCCGGGAATTTTACAATCCCCGGGTTCTGCAGATTTCAAGGGTCAGACTCAGCAACTGAATCAGACATTCAGTGGGATAAGCACCACAGATCTGCGATCTTCATTTAGCCAGAGAGCCAGAAGGGAACTTCTTTTCTCCCTGAGGGAGTGGGAAACACCTGGTATTAGCTTGACTGGGGGATACCAGGAGAAAAGGGGGCAAGGTTCAGGCCACAGCTGTCTGGTTTCATGCAGGCATTGGACCTTTCTCATTTCTTGGCATTGTGTGTGACCCTTATGAAAGAATCTGGAAGCTTAAGTCAAGAGCATGGGAGGATTGGGTCAAAAAAAAAAATGCATTAAACATTCAGAGGTATGGGGGGAAGGTGCAGATTGGTTTAGGAAGAGTGCAATGCAAACTGAACGTTCCTGGAGTGTTTACTGTGGGAGAAGACTGTCTAGAGTCCTGTGTTGTCCAATACTGTAGTCACTAATCACGTGTGGCTGTTTAAATTAAAATTAAAATTAAAATTTTATTAAAGATTCTGTGCCTCAGTTGCACTAACCACATTTCAAGTGCTCAGTATTTATGAGGCTAGTGGCTACTATACTGGACAATGCAGATAAAGCACATTTCCATCACTGCAGAAAGTCTTACTGGACAGTGTGGGTAGACTGTAGTTGTCTTCTTGCATTTCTTGCTGGCCATAATGAGTTGTTTCTGAGACCCCTTTGGGAAAGAGTTGAATTTGGGGAAGCTAGTCCAGCAAACCTGCTAACCTTAGGAACTCAAAGAAGCTTAGAGCAATGAGGAGCATTGAGTACCCCAGTGTACTGGACTCACCAGGCCCTAACCCCTCTCCCCTCAGGGCCTTTACTACTTGTTCACAGCCATTCTGACCTTTGCGTGTTTTATTTGTTTCCTATTTTACGCTGTTTTAATTGATGTTTAATATAGCTTAACTCTGCATGGTGTTCCAAGCCCCTCACTAGGGGGCTGCTCAAACACAGAAGCACAATTAATAACAATCCCCAGAAAATTATGCCCTGTATCAAAGTTGTCATTGTACCCTATAAATGCTTATTATTACTATTGAATTCTCCAGCCCTGACACCTCCCCGTGTTTACTAGGTAGCAGATAAACCTCTATGCTTGTGCCTTCCCTACTCTACCACACCATCAGGACTAAATATAGCCCTTGTGTGTCTGTTTAGTTCCATTTAGCTGTGCTTTGGAAAAGGGGGGAAACATCAGAGTTAATAAAATTAAATTGCCAGAAAATGTGATTTGTTCCTCTCCCACTTGACAAGCCCTTGAAAGACACAGACATCACTGCTCACGAGATGGGTAACCAGCCTCAGCTACAAGGTGGGGGGCAAGGCCCAGAGCCTGCTAACATGGCATGGTTTTCAGATCTGCCTCCTCTGAGAGAATAGAGGGAGCAGGCCCAAGTGCGCAGGACACTGGGGGCAAGGGGTAATACCCTGTGGCCTGGGAGAAAGTGACCAGAAAATAGTGCCTGAGCTGGAGTCCTGCCCAAGGAGTTAGAGGGCAATACATTTCACCCCTGCCCTGCAATTCTCTCAGTTTGCGGGGGGGGAAGATAAATAAAAAAGCAAACAATGTAAGCCTCTCCCCTACCCCAAAAGGAAAAACAAAGCCCCTTAATTTAAAATGGTTTAGTACTTCATGGTTGTTTCTTTTGGGCATTTTTGAAGCTCAGTTTTTGGCATGAAAAGATAACAGCTTTTCTATGATCACTAATCAGGAAAAGCAAATGGAAAATTCCAGGCTTGTGAGACACCTGTACTCCTCCCTCTCTGGCATGCCTTCTCATCCTGTGTGCATTCTCTCTGCACCCCTGTCTAGTTAAGAGTCTTCTTTACAGAACGCTGAGGCCCCAGATGACTTTCTCCTCTGACTTAGCCTCGTGTCCTTTTCTCACTAAAATAATACAATTTAGAGAATGCACGTGTTCACCTCTTTTGTCCACCTCTACCACGTACACCCCACTCCCTTCTCTATGCCATTTTCAGTCTTCCAGTTATCTGTACTGCCAGTGGATGAACAGGTGGCTGTCTGGGAGGCAGGTGAGGGTGCAGGTCAGACGAATACAACAGGAATGTGGAGATATTAGCTCTCCCGTGCCGGACTACGTGTGTTCCAAGGATTACCTTCCTCATGCCTCAGTTTCTCAAATACTGTGAACTGCTTCGACTGGACTGTGTCACCTCTAGAGCCCTGACAGCTCTCAAATGCTCTAATTCAGTATTCTGAAGGCTGCAGACTCAAGTCCTTGGAAACTGAATGGGTCATTTTATTTCTATTTATAATCCATTTTTAATTTCTGCACTCAATGCTCTATGGAGAAATGTAGATTCTAAATTCTTCTACCCAACAAAGGAAAAGCTCTATTTTAGGCTGTTTGACAGGGAAATATTTCTAACTACATTGAGTTTCCCATATTGTATTTGCTTTGCCTTCTTCCATCTTTGCCTAAAAAAGTAGTTTCTAAAAAGCCATAAAAGCTTCCTGTGCTCAGGCATAGCAGGAACGAGGCTGCCTTGGCTGCAGGAAGAAGACGGTGCCGACCCTGGGCCCCAGGGGGGCAGGACTGTTTACCATCTGCTGCTCTAGCAGCCTTGTCTCCAAATCAGGCCTGGTTTGTAGTTGGCTGCAAATATTAGGAGCTGGGCCACTAGCATGTCCCACCCATGGCAAGCCTTGAACCCTTTGTACTCTGGCTGCCAAGACAATCTGAAAGCAGGGGGCCACTTTCCATCTTAGGAGAAAAACACGTGTGTTATACGGAAATAGGATTTTCTTTTCCCTTCCTCTCCTCATTCCCAGCCATTCTGAATGCTTTAGATTGAAAGGGAGGAAAACCTGTCCAACAAAGCTGAGGAAGGTGATGGAATTGTCAGAGACTTCCCCTGCCCCATCTATGCAGGCCAGAATGGTTTATTAATGATCCATGGGAAAAGAACAATCGTCCTGCTGGCAGCTTCACATGTAATTAAGCAGCTTCACAGAGAGCTGGCTGCCTTCTCCAGGTCTGGCATCTGCAGACTGCAGAGCTACCTGACATAGTGACGCTGGGTTTCTAGTGAAATCTTCCTACCGGGAAAGGGACAACCAAAATAGTGACCTAAACCCACTGGGCACTCAGGAAACATGACTGTGATGGTAGTGTTCTTCTGGAAGTCTGGCCATGTACTTGGGCTGACACAAAAGAGTGCAAGCTCCCCGATGGCAACAACCAGCTCTGGGGAACCACAAGTCCCACTGGTCACCATTAACTGCCCACTCAGGTAAGTAGCTCCCTCTGCTGGGTAGAGGTCATGGCGCAGGGTAAACTTCCGAGGGGGTTCCCCCAGATACTTTCCCCTCAGCCAAAACTCTACCCACAGGAGTTTCTGGGAATTGGTTCATGCTGTGCAAGGCAGCAGACTCCAGCTCTTTCCGCCCCTCCGCAGTGCTGAACGACTTTGCTGGGTGTGGTGGGCAAGAGTTGCTTCTGTGTCTATATGCGTTAGAGAACCAACAGAATTCAAACTACAATACATCAAGAGAAAAGGGGCTAAGTTAACCACGTTTTGCCTTTGTAGTCAGTGCTAACTTCCCTTTTAAGAGCCCTGGGATTCACAGACCCCTGGTCATCCCACCAGGTGAGTGAAGTAGTAAGTACTTGGCATTCGAGATGCAGTTTTAAAAATGAGCTCTTTAGTGCATGGCACTGGAAATGTCATGGGTTGTGTTTCCGTCACCTTTCCCAACAGAGAATCAGAGGGCATTTCAATGAGGGAGAACAGAATAACACACACACACACACACACACACACACACACACCCTTTCTGTGCTTGCTTCTAGAGTTGAGAAAGAAGTGGATAAAAACCGTCTCCATTCTCCATCCCCTGGTAGATACAGACCCCTCTTAAGCACAAGAGCCCTTCCTTCACCCTCTGACTCAAGCTCGACCCTAGGCACCCAGATTCCCCCAGGGTGAGCCCAAGTTACTACCTGAAGTCTCAGAGGGAATGACAAATGTCTGCGTGGGCAGCAAAACCAGAGCTAGTTCACAGGTGTCATGGACTTTCCAGTCCCCACATGCAGTTTACGTTCTGTGGGATCACAAAGGAAGCCTGTACCGTTTAGAAAACCAGGGGAGAGGAACTGCTGGGTGAGGCGGTGATGTCCATCAACTGACGCCACGCTGCCCTCTTCTTGAGAGTACCACACGTGCGGTGAGCCCCTCTAATAAAGCCGCCGAGTTGAAGAACAGGCTCCACAGTCATTTTCTTGCTTATCACCTGCAGTCTCCTTCCTCACTCAGCTTTGATTACAGGAGCCAAACACAGTGGTTCTCTCATTCCTATTAAAGCAGCCTAGAAACAGGCATAATCTCAGCTGCTGCTCAGCAACTAGCAGGCAGGGAGAGGTCACTGGTGACCTGGTAGGAAACGGATAGCTCATGATGAATGAATTGGTACTGCCTGCTAATTTAACTTGCCATCACTTTAATCAATAAGGGAAAAGGTGAATTGCTATTGATCTCTTCAACACCTCTCGACGATACTGTACAAATTACAGAAACACAAGGGGGAGGGTGAAAGCATCAGAGAGGAAGGACAGATGCAAGAAGTCTGGGCAGGGTGAGAACGCTGCATCTTCCCAGAGTTGGTCTCCCCGTGGCTGGGTGTTAGGCATGCTTGGGTGCATGTGTGAATGTGTCAGGAAGAGCCCTTCCTTACACCTTGAAGAGTTGGCCTCCCTCTGCACTTCATGTACTTGCTAGGCCTCATCAGGGCAACAGGGCATGTGAAACCATATGGCTTCCCCTGATGCAAGGCTAGAAGTCAGTATGTTGAGAGGCGCTATGGGTCCCAAGGCCTCATGAATTTTTAAAGTTGTCATACTCGAGTGGTGTCTAGCTGGGCTATCTCAACAACTAATATAATTCTGGATGGGAAAACAAGAATCAAAAGCTTCCAGGGCAAACTCCAGGTTTGCCACACTGACCCCCAGCCTTGGGTCAAAAGCCAAAAAAGGCTAGACAGGAAGCTAATAAAGTAGAACTGTCTTGCAACATACTTGATAATAACAAAGATCATGGCTCCCAGGGTTCAAGACTATCCTCTAAAAACACATCTGAGAGACACAGCCTCAAGATCAGAGGTCGGGGCCAAAATGTGAGAGGTCTAACCTGAATCCTGGGACAATGACCACACACAGACAGGCAAGATGACAATGTAACAGGCAGATTTTATGGCAGGGCGAAAAGGGAAAATTGCCTAGAGCTAAGCCCATGAGGTAAAGAATGGTCACATCTCAGGGTCTAGGACCACAGGTCCATCTCCTGTCTCATCAACTGGGTCTAATTATTCGGATGCAGGTAAAAAGAAAAAAAACCCACAAAAACAAAGCAACCACAGGTCCCTCTCCAGGTCACACAGTGACCTCAGCCTGTGTGTGGTTATTCGCTTTCTACGTAAGTGGGTAGAACTAGGGGCTCCTCGGATCCTCTGCACCGTGTCTTAGTCATCGCCTTTCAGCTCTCTCCAGGCAGAACAGGGCTGAGTACTCCCATTTTGCAGATGGTGAAACCAAACAGGCAGTCACATATCCAATATGAAAGAGAACCCAACCTTTAAAACCCAAGTGTGAAAAGGGCAGGAGCCCTTCAGGATGCTCTTGGCACTCTTGCTTAAATGACTCTCCAGAGACAATGACTCAGGGTGTAACTGTGTAATTCTGAAACCAGTGACAACAGTGTGCCAGTACCCCCACCTTCCTCCCACAAATACCTGAACGGCCAAAACGTAGAGCAAAATAAAATGCAAGTTATAAAGCTGCTGATGTGGTTAGAGTGGAAGTGCTGATATTAGGAGGAGGAAGTGGTTAAGTGCACCCTGGGTGTTTGGAAATGGCCACGTCTGCAGCCCTGTAAGCTGATGAAGGATGAGCTCTCACTGTCTCTGCCGGGCAGACAGAGAGATTGGCCCTACACTCAGGAGGTGGGAGCATGGCTATGAGAGGGCATGAAGGTAAGAAACACTATTTAGCAAACACCAGTACCCTCCTACAAGGAATCTTCCAATTCCGAAAGTGACCCTATTCTAAAATTACCACGTGGCAAGTGGCCAGGCCAAAAATCCATATCCAATCAGTGGTAATGGACTATTTGTTGCATTTCCTCATATAGGGTTGCAGCACTGCTATAAAAATCTTGGGCCAGTAGTTTTAGATTTATTTAACCAGAGAGGTACCAGCATCCTAGCATTGCCAGCACTGGAGAAACCTGTGAAGGGAAGAAGCTGATGCAGGCTGCTGGTAGTAGTGGAGGGACCTGTTGGGTTTTACTTGCATAATCTTCCCCTTCTAGCTGTACATTCAATGCCAAGACCCTCTTCTGGTACCATTAGATAGGATTTCACTGTATTGAGAGAAGGCAAAGGGAGAAGAGGGAGGGATTATGCTAACTGGAAAGAAAAATGGCACAGTAAAGCTGTTTCCAATTCAACTTTTCATTCCTAGCTCAATAGGTAGTTTTTGTTCTTGTTGCAGTGACTGTCCCACAGGATTCGTCTTGGGTCCTTTTCTTGTCCCTTTCAATCCTGATTAACACCTAGATCTTTCTTTAGAGCTCATGCCTGGCACTCCACTATCCTCCAACCCTCCAATTTAATAAAGATCAAAGACAAACCTATGGCAATCCTAGACTGCTGTGGCCACGGTAAGGTGGTACGGGGACTAAAAAGAGCAAATGCTATTCCATCAGAGGATAAAGAAGCCCAGGCCAGCTAGGATCTAGATAGGTCATCCCTGTATCCCTCTTTTTCAAGTCACAGTGACACCAGGAAATGGGAAGAAAGTATAGAGAGCCCTGAGTATGGGCAGATCATCCTCGCAACACCCATATGGCAGTTCAACTACACGGCAAAGGTACTCAAGCCATTATTTCTTAGATGTCTATTCGGCATCTGTAGAATCTGGGCTCTTGGTGATGGTTGGCCCTATCTGTCCATAGTCAAGTCTAGAAGAGGCTCTGTGCGCAGGTTAGGACTCTGTGGCATTACCTCCAGACCTTTACCTTTTCCACTGAATGTGACACTGCCTACGAAGAGATTCTAACGTGGAGAACCATGCAGAAGCAGAGGCAAAAATACCCTGTTTCTTTAGCCTTTCTTCATAGAAAAATGACTGGCTAACCCCTGATGGTATCTAGACAGTTTTTTGAGAACTTAGATCAAGGATGGCAAATACGTGCCAAATCCACTCAACGGATAGTAGCTCCTAGGAGCCCTGTTCTGAGAAGATTCTGAGCCCTAAGCCAAAGCAGTGCTATGACTGGAAAGGTCTGCCATGGGTGCTAGATGGGGGAGGGGGGGTATGCGTATTTGCCATCACTGGCTTAAACAGACAGGACTGGCATGTGGAGAGCACTGGTGAGGACTAACCATGGTTCTTTGTTGATTCTAATATAATGCTGCTCCCAACACACATGCCAATGACTAGCCTGCCTCCCTACTCTGGGTATCATGGTTTGTCCTCAGTGAAGTTCTAGTCCTAGATTTTAGCTAAACTCTGAGAGAAGAATTTTCATTCATAATAAAAATAATGACACAAGCTGTCGCCAAGTGTTTACTGTTTACGAGGGCACCAGTCCTGGGAAATTTTATATATATACATGACTTCCACACCAACCCTCGAGAGAAGGTGCCTTCGCTGTAGGTGAGGGAGTTAGGTTCAGCAGCACCGCTGCACTGTGCAACCTTAGGAGCACCATTCTTCGGAGTTCTATTATACACTGAGACTGCCCTGGATTTAGAGAAACTGAGGATCATGTCCAAGGTCATTCAGTAAATGGCGAAGCTGGAACAAGAACGCAGGTCTCACTCTGCACATGTTACTAACAGAGTTTTTAAGTGACCAGGAAGGGAAAAATGTGCCTACATGTTCTGGATATGGGTCTAAGGATGAACTTACCCCTTCCTGAATAAGTGACACGTGTTGTTTAGACCAGGTTAGGGTATCTGCTGTTAATTCTCAAGCCTGCTCATAATCTTATTTCATGCACCACAGCATTTCATAACAGACTATTGGTCACTTTCATTTCCAAAATCCATTTAAGTTCAGCTGACCAGAAACTGTCACAGGTGGAGTGGCAAGTGGGAAGTTCATCAATAAAGCCAGATTTGGAACACAGAGGATCTTGTCTAGTCGTTGGCAACAGACACACGGCTAATGGCAAGAAGAGGGCAAGGTTATGGTTGGCTCATCCACTAGAACAGTCACTACTGTGTCCTTGGAGGAGTCACGTGTGAAACCCCAGAATGTTAGTTTTACCTAGAGAGCAAATGAAATGTACAATCTGCTTATTACTCTTTGCTGGCAGCTCTGGCAGCCCTGCTATTGTATATTAAGGGCTGTGTTCTAAAATGGTATCAGTTGAATTATATAATTCCAAGGAGAAGATATTAACATTCAGGCAGTGGGTGTGTCTGGGAATAGTTAGGACAAACTGAAAAGAGAGATATGATGCCTGAAGATCCCCAAAGACGCCAAGCATGAAAGCTCACACTCAAATCTACAAGGGTGCTGGCCAACGTGTTGGGGTCCCGTGTGAAGCTCTTCTGGAAATAAAGAGAATGGGGCAAGTCTGAATGAGGTCATCTTTATTGTGGAAAGTAAGTATGATCTGCCAGTCAGAAGATATGAAATAAAGAACTACTTTCCAAATTAGGCTTCCAGAAGGAAATGGACAGACTTCACAAATAAGGGATTTCATCTGAAAAAAATGTGGAGCTGCTTTCCTATTATATTAAGGATATTAGCTTCCTTTCCGCCCACCCCCCCTTTTTCTTTTTTAAAGAGAACCCTTACACCAAAGCTCAAGAAGCAGTGATTATTCAGGATGACTGAAGAGGTAAGACAAACCAGGAATTATTACTAGGGGCATCTGATACAAGTAAATTAAAATAAATGGCACCCAGCTCTCCTAGCACAATCCTTACCTATGAGGAGTCCAAAAATCTCTTACCTCCTGATAGAATTTTTCCATTCGTTCTGGGTCACAGGCTCTACATAGCTATAGAGAAGGTAGACCAGGATGTGCCTGGCAATAGCTGTTGTCCACAGGGATGGCTCAGAAAGAAATTTATGTCAGATAGGCAGATAGTACTGAATACCATAGGTGGCAGGAGTTCTGCTTAGCAAAGCTCTGTTTGAAGGATCTTCATGACCTTGTATTCATAACGATAATCTTGTAGTGAACTAATAAATGCATTCAATGGCAATGCCCACTATACTCATTTCCAGGCTTCAAATTTTTTTTAAAGATTTTATTTATTTATTTGAGAGCGAGACAGCATGAGCACAAGCAGTGGGGAGCGGCAGGCAGAGGGAGAGGGAGAAGCAGACTCCCCGCTGAGCAAGGAGCCCGATGCGGGACTCAATCCCAGGGTCCTGGGATCATGACTTGGGCAGAAGGCACATGCGTAACTGACTGAGCCACCCAGATGTCCCTCCAGGCTTCAATTTAGATGAGGTTTAAAGCAAGTACTGTGAACCAATCTAGCAGAAGGATGCAAGAGGAAGTCATGTTTGAGCCTTTTGCATCTTTACTCTCAGACTGATGTGGGTTAAAAGTAAAGGTGGAGAGGAAAAAAATCAGTTCAGGGACCCACCTCGGCATTGCGAAGGAACCTGCTTATGGAGGAACAACATCTGTCAGGTCTAAGGGCTATACTTCCTAGTTCCTTTTTCCTGGTAGGAACAAACTGAACTGGCAGAAGAAACATCAGTCTCTTAAGGAAGAGTTTATAGTAATAAGAACCAATTCCCCAGGGAAAGGAAGAATCCCTCTGCTGAAAAGGATTTTCTTCCCTGAGACAGAATTATATCCTTGAGACCTTCCCTACATGTCCCCAAGGAGGCCAAATCTCTTGTGGCCCTAAACCTTATTCTGTCCCCAGCCCCAACAGTTGGGCTGGGATGTGAACACTAGTCTCGGGAGGGCAGTGAGGCCTATCAAACTTTACCAGTCAGCCTGTATGACATAATTACAGGTAATAGGATCTTGGCCAAGCCAATGAAAAATTAGGCCCAGCAGCTCTTTCAGAAGAATGGATGCAATTCTATGCTTGACTGGCTATGAAAGTTCCAAGCAGAAGAATAGGGAACAGACAACAGCCTAGCTGAGCCAGCAGCTTTGCAGAGAGGAATCCCACTGGAGCCAGCACACTGGCACCTATCAGCACATGCTGCTGAGCTAGCTTGGGGAAGGCTACTGGTGACTGGTACCTGGGGAGTTTAAAAGCTGACAGGGGAGACCCAAGCAGCCAGGGGATGGGAAAAACAGGGCGACATGACAGTATCCTCCGTTCTTCATTTTCACCTCAGCTCTTCTCATTGCGATGCCATTTTCATTTACGGGTTGGAATGGGAATTGAGGGCCTCCCTTCTAGGGCTTTTAGGGATACCTGGCAAGGGCCAAGAACCCAGAAATGAAGGGGCTGTAAATAGGGAGGTAACAGCCTAGTATTCACATGGTACTTACAGCCTATCACTGAACAAGAGTTGGTTGACCTGAACTTCAAAATAAACCCTTTGCCTCATTTAATAGTTTGATCCACAAAAGCAAAGGATGGGAAATATACCAAGGAGGGAAAGAGATGAGTAGCCTACTGGGAATATGATGAAGGGACACTAAAGATTTCTATTTGAACAGTGGAAGTTTTTCAAAAACACTTACACATCATGATCTCATTACCTTTAAGTATCTTGGTTGGAGAGCTCGGGAGACCCAGGGATGTCAGGATCCCAAAGTAAGAGCAGAGTCAGGTCTTGGTAATGCACTTTTTCAATGGGAAGCTCCTGACTTAGCAGCTGTGTGTCCGGCCTCAATACTCCAGTCTTCCTCCCTGATCCACAAATGCTGAGCTTAAAGAGCTTTCCCAAAGAACTACAAAGGACAACAAAAGAGCAGGCCTTCTTCCCGATCTCTAGAGTTAGGTCACAGGGAACCAAGTAGTGGATTTAATGAATGTCTATCTATTAAGCATCTCTTATAAACCAGGCAAAGTACAAAGAACATAAGGACAAAAACAGGGATCTGGTCCTTGAGAAGCTTACAATCTGGGGGGATGGGGGAGACTGACACATAGATCCCTTCAACGTCATTGGTCAGTGCATGACAGATGTGTGCACAGGACACTATGGGGACCAAAGAAAGGGCATCTCACCCAGTCTGGGAGATCAAGGAAAACCTTCTCAGAAAAGGAGGTATATCTTGAAGGATAGGTAGGAATAAGAAAGCAAAGAAGGGGGATGGCTGATATACTGAGTGGGGAGTTTGGGTTGATCTTAAGAGTGGGAGAGATGAAATGGAATGGTAAATACGGGGAACTGTGAGAATAAGGTCAGTGAAATGAGTAGTGTGTAAGACAAGAAGTTGGAGAGGCAATCGAGGATATATGTAAACTAAGGAGATCAGACTTTATCCCAGAGGCAATGGGGAGTTATATAGTTCTAAATGATCACTTACTAGATACGTCTTTTAAGAAAGATTAGGAACATGGATATATATGATTAAGCTGAAATAGAGCAAGATAGGTCAGAGAGGAATCATTAATTAAAAAGGAAAGAAAGAAAAGGAAAGAAAGAAAGAAGAAAAGAAAGAAAGAAAGAAAGAAAGAAAGAAAGAAAGAAAGAAAGAAAGAAAGAAGGAAAGAAAGAAAGAAAGAAAGAAAAAAGAAAAGGAAAAGGAAAGCCCACAAAATCAAACAGATGAAGCAGGAATCAGGCAATCGAAAGATGTAAAAACTGTGACAAGAAGAGAATAAATATTTTGGGAAGGTGTGGCCAGAGCGGATCCCTCGGATCCTTCTGGAGTCTTGTGAACATCCAGAATCAGACTCAGTGGTTCCTTAGTGGAGAAGAACTCTCAGTTGAACTGCTGGATCTTTAGGGAAGTCCTTTATAAATTAATTAGGTCCAGATATGAGGGTTGAGAAAGGACATAATACTGCTAATTAGAATGACCACATTCTAATAGAAAAATTGGCAAAATCTGGGGAAGAAAAAGCACCTGATTTGGAATGTAGACATTTGGGTTTTGGTATCTGCTCTACAACAAAGCTCTGTGAATAGAGGCAGGTCACCGTGCACCACAGTTTCCTGAACTGTGACACTGGGATAATATTTCTCATGTAGGTTTGCTTTGAGATTAAAATGAAATATTGTATATGAAAGCACTTTTACACTAGAAAAATACTATATAAATGGAAAGCCTGATCACTATTAAGAGTGATTTTTCCACTCTTAATTTTCTATTTGAGCCCCCTTCAAAGAAAACAGCCTCTAATGGAAAACAAAGACTTTGTGGGGAGGTAAGAGAAAAGCCTTAGCCTCCAACAGCCCTTAACACCTCACGGAGTGAGAGGGTGGTTCAGAAAGGTGACCTTACTGCATTCTCTTTTCGCTGGGCAGTGGCAGAGGTAATCTAGAATATGGTGTTCTTTGCAAATGACTGAAACGTTGGTAGACAGCTGGCTCTTCCCAGCAGGTTAAGGGGACCCAGGGACAGTCTGAGAACAGAGTCTCGCTGGCCTTAAAGGCACCAGGTTTCCCTTACCCTTCTGGGTTTCCCCATGGCTTGAACTATCCTCATTACTTTCATCCAGAGATCTAACTTTGTTATTGCTCCTTCTCCCATGTGTCTCCTGCCCAGGGAAGGGACCTGCATGGGCAGACGGAAACAGCAAGGGTGAGGGCATATACCACAGCACTATGGGGAAATGTGGAGAAACTGTTTCAATGGTAAACTGCTTGGACCGTTTATTATCTTTCTCATACAAGATGCAGCACACTTGGTGGTAAAAACAAAAAAACAAGAAACCATTTTTCTTTTATTCTAAGGTTTCTCTCCCGAACAGCTCTCCATAAATACACACCAGTATTCACTGCCAAGTCCATATTCCTCTGAAATGTAAATACATGTTCTTCAGACAGCAACAGTTGCTTGTGATCTTTTGTGCATCTTTGTTTTTAAAAAAGCGGGGTAGCGGGAGTGAGGGGATCCAGGACTATGCCCTGGCCACCGCAACTTGCAGCAGGAGCTCCCCAGGGGGGCATCCTCCCTTTTGATGCCCGCAGGAGGAAGGGAAATAGGTCAGGGCAGCAGCCAGAGTTTTCAGCTCAGGCTATCCAGCACGAGGACATTTTCCAGCCAGCAGCAAAGGGTGATTTCTGAGATCTCAAGAGGACAAAGGGGTCACTGAGAAAGGTCTTGGAAATGATCACCAAACCTCCAACATCCCAGCTCCTGCCCCGGTACCTCTTAGAGCCTGGCACTGTGAAGAGGGTTAAACTGTGGCACTGATCTCTTTTCATGCCTTAGAGCCCCTTCTCTAAGAGTGCAGGATTTCCTGACAGGTGTGAAGAGATCCCACATGACTGTTTTAGTCACAGGAAGGGTCTCAAAAGGGAGAGGATGGCTTTGGATTGCTAGACCAGTGTTTTAGACAGGAATACCAAGGCAGGAAAGAGTCACTCAGAACCACATGATTAACTGGAACTCGAAAACTGAGAGCGTGCACATTTAAGCCAGTTATCTACCCATTAGCTAACGTTCACCACTACTTCTGGGAAGATGCTAGCAATGGGCACAGTTCCCCATCTGGGAAGCTACACCAGATCTTCCTGTCCTTGGCAGTGCAGCAGAGAACTGCTTGAAAGAGGCAGATGTACTGCAGGAGGGGGGCACACAAGCTCATGCCATCCAGTGGGACACAGCGCTCATATAGCTCACAATCACAGCGACAGCAATGGACACAATGATCTCACTCTGCGTGGCCCAGAAGGAGCCCAGCCTGAGGCAGGGGACATGAGAGCAAACCATCATTTTCAGGGCTGTAAGCTATTTAAACCAACCAACTCAGCATATACTTACCGTATAGCAAGGGTCAGCAAACTTCTCGTGATAAAAAGATAAGTAAATATTTTAGGTTTTGCAGGCCTTATGGCCTCTGTCCTAACTATTCAACTCTGCTATTAAGAGGATGAAAGCAGCCATAGACTGTAGTACATAAAACGATTAGTGTGGCAGTGTTGCAGTAAAACTTTATTCACGAACACTGGCAGTGGGCCGGATTTGCCCACCCCTGTAACATCCTAACTGAGTCACGCTGGGAAGAACTGTTGAGCTAATTGGATTTCCTCTAGAGTTCCTTGGCTGCTTTGGCCTTCAAGGCCACAAAGGGTCAGGTAACAAGCTGGTATCTGAAGTGCTCTTTGTCTTGCCCTGGAGCAAGAATGCCAGAACACCCAGACCCCTGACCTGGAACAGTCTTCCCAGACTCCTACCTCAGGGAAAGAAACAAAAGACAAC